ATTAATTTTCCTTAACAAAATAAATATCTAAATAGAAAAATTAATTTCTTAGTTCCTGCATGTTCTAATGAGTGATATTGTTTCAAATCAAGAAACAGGTTTGGGTTGCCTGATAATATTAATAATATCACTTTTTGTCTCTTAGAAATACACATTTGATAGTAGCTTGAGTTAGGATGCAGAGGTAAATTTTTGTTCATTATCAAAATCAGTAACATCTGTAAAAAAAATTGTAGCAACCTCAGTTTTATATGGTTAAATTTATTCTGAACAAGTTTTTTTTTTAGTTTTTTTTTATTAAGCATTGATCTCCCATAGTAGCATACATTTAAATCATGATAAACACAGTTAAAACCACACATATAGCACCTCAATACCATGGTTAGAAACCAGACCATTAATTTTCCTTAACAAAATAAATATCTAAATAGAAAAATTACTTTCTTAGTTTCTGCATGTTCTAATGAGTGATATCATATAAATGCACACATGCTATAGCTTAATCACAAATACATACTATAATTATATACCATTACTCCTGTAATGAAATTCAATGTGAATATCCCACATTTCTTCCACAATACCATGGTGCAGTGAGTGTTACTACAGTAAATCCATGGTAAATGATGGCGATGTGTAGATTGAAAAGCCTTCTGTCTCGTTTGTTGCACACAGTGTGTCTCCTGTTTGGCTGTAAACTAGTTTAAATCACAGAGTCATTTATGAAGGTACAACAATGCCTAAAAGATTTGCATACGCAGGGTAAGAGTTGTGGAAGTGTACATAAGACTGTCAGCGTAAATTAAATTTGCATGCGCAAGACAAGCTTTGTAAAGGTGTAAATAGCATTTCAAGTGTAAGAAAAAATTATTTGCAGCATTTTACTGTTACTCGTAAGTGTAATTCATGTATTGTGAAACTGCAGCTTCATGCTAATGCAAAATAAATATGATCTTATGACTTCTTCTGGAGCATTTAGATCCTCTTCTTTCATCTTTATTTTTAACAAGCTGTGACAATCAGATGCTATTATAGTTTTTATTAAGATTTTGATTTTTAGATTCAGTTAAATTATGAAAAGGCAGTTTTTCATATTCAATGAGTACAATATGTGCTTATTTAACTGGGAGTATTCAGATAAATTTGCTAAACTGCACAAGCTTTTAAAGATGATAACTAATTAAATAATTCCTAATGTTTTGATGTTTTTGTCTCTCTCCTCCTCATCAGAACAGCTGCATGCTGGTTTAGGCTCAGTCTCCACAATTATTTGTAGTCCTAGAAATTAGTATGAGTATAATCTCTAAAGATCTATATTCCCATTCATATTTGTATATTGTATTTATATTTCATATTGTATTCCCATACAATTTGTAGCACACCAGGGTGACTAGGAACATGAAATTATCCAGCCATTACTTCCTGTTTCACAGGAATATAAATATAAGGAACACAAAGGCCAAATTCTTTTTTTTTCACAATGAAAAAAAAAAAACACAAAGATTTCTGTTGTGCAGCAACAGATTGTTGAGCTTTACAAAATATGAAGTCAAGAAACACAAAAGCACAAAATAGTCACACAAAAAAAAAGAGAAAAAAGAAAATAGCTAAAGCATTGAACATTTTCATTTCCACCATTAGGACAATAATTAAGAAGTTCCAATCGACAGGAAATGTTACAAATCTGCCTACAGTATATTGTCTGTGTCTATATTATCTTAATGCAATGTGAGGAAGATAGTTGGAGTGCCCAAAGACTCTCCGAGGATCACAGCTGGAGAATTGCAGAAAATAGTTCAATCTTGGGGTCAGAAAGCCTTATAATGGCCCTTGGTTGGATCTTCCAACAGAACAATGATCCAAAAGGAGCATCAAAATCAACACAAAAATGGGTCACTGAACACAAAGCGAAGGTTCTGCCGGCCGTCCCAGTTCCCTGACCTGAACCCTAGAAAACTGAAGAGGAGAGAGTATCAACATGGAGCTGTGAATCTGAAGGGTCTGGAGTGATTCTGTATGAAGGAATGGTCTCCAAACTCTTGTTCTCCAAACTCAGGCATTAAAGGAGAGACTCATAGCTGTTAAACTGGCAAAAGGAGGTTGCAAAAAGTATTGAATAAAAGGGTGCCATTAATTGTGGCCAATGTGCATTTTTTAAATAAAAGTTCAAAATGATTAACAGTGCATATTTATTTTCACAGGCTTCTTTGTTCATATCTACCGAGTGCACCAATAATTTTGATATATAAAGACTGGAGAAACAACCTTAATCTGACGTTAAGTCTGCCTCCTGGTAGGTTTAATTTAAGCCTCAGTTTAGTCCTGAAGTAGCTCTAGTCCTTGGATTTTGAGTGTGAATCACTATTGAATTCATATTTTTAAAAACAAAATGTCACTGTCTCACTTAATATCAACAATCACACCAACACACATTTTACCAACATCTTATCACAAGCTAATGTAAGAAAAAGTGAAGACGTCGAAGATCTTGATGAAGAATAACTTTTATTACAGAATAGTAGTGACAAAGTACATGTAGTACCTTGGGTTCAACGGAGTCAGACTGAACCCCGAACATCCTAAGCTCAATCATTTTATACTGTATTACGTTCATCTTCCCGCTCAACATGTAAATTAAGTTTCGTTTTAAATGTAAATTGCGGATGACAATTAAAGTGATAGTCTTCCGTTCCCACATCTTCGGTAGACTCAAGTGTTCCAACCAAATGTTAAGGTGATAAGATTAAACAGAATCCATAGCAGTTCTTTCATGTACCCTTTTGGTCAGCAGATGGTTCTTGACGACCTGCTGCTTCTCCCACGCTATCTCCAGAGGTAATGTTAATATTTACACATGATTAAGATCGGAAACAACTATCTATATGATAATTAAGCTCTTTGTAGAGAAAGGAGCATAGTTTAATACACAGTTTGGAGTGGAAGCTGGGTCGAGGCAGACTATAATTTCTTACACTAATGAAGGCCACAATCCAACAGAATAACATCAGTGTAGGTTGCAAAAAGTTTATTAGGCCATTGATATGGTGATGAACTTTATTTCATTCATTGTCAGAAGACGACAGTTTTAAAACTTAAAAGGTAACAGAAGAGCATAAAAACAAATAATTGAAATGGTAGTTGGATCTGTGCTACTATTGGAAACCTGTAGCTGTAATCATCCAGGTGTTCTGGGATTTTTGGTTTCACTGTGCAAATGGGACCTTAAACCTTGTGATAATCTTAATTTGTAAATTTCTATTTGTTTGTAAAAATGTTTAAATATTTTACATTGGAAACATGAAAAAGATAGATAGAAGATATTTTAGCAACATGTTTTTGCAGCAGTGTATGATTGTATCATAGTTTACAACCAGACAGCAGACAATTCACAACCAACATGGAGAATGTTGAACGGGGTAAGTTAAGACATGGATCCTCACACCAGTATACAAAAAAATATGTCTACAGATACGTTTATATAAGTTTATTTCATTTGTAGCAGGCAGTGATGTATTCAACAAATGATAACAACTAATAACAGACACAGTTTTAAAGCATCGCAAGCTACAAATGAAGAAAGAACCGAAATCAATGTATACAACTAGCTGAAGTTTGCTGTGCTTTATCCTAACATTACACAAAGAATGTCTGCAATCATTCAGTCAGGGACGACTGCACAAAACGTGCACTGTAAATGAAAAACATTATAAACGGTTACGAAATGATAAACAAATGTAGTTTGTGCAACGCCGGAAATATATTTACCTTTTTTTAAATATTCCATTAAACCTGCCGAGATACAAGGAGCGTGAACTGAAATTCTCAGTTCCACGCGCATGTCCGGGAAACTCATGAATATTCATGTATGCTCCGCCCACTGAAACCAAAAATCTCGGAAACCGAAAATCTCGTAACACCGGCGCGAAACGACCTCAGCTGACTGACATCTCGTCCTTATGTTGCGTTGCGCAAAATAATATAATTTACACCACATTAAATACTTTATAAATGAAATAAAATGTATACAAACCTTTATTTCCGGAAAGAGTGCACCAAATCGGCGGCGCTGAGAACCGCTCTCTCCTGTGGACTTAAGCCCGTGTTCTCAGCAGCTGCGTTGTGAAGTTTCACCGGACACAGGGTCAACCCCGCGGTTAGGTAGAAAAAAATAACCCAGCGTTAAAATGACCCAACAAGCTGAACCCAGCGTTTGGGTTACAGCGTTTGGGTTAAAAAAATAAAAAAAAACCCAGCACCTGGGTAAAAATATTAAAAAATAACCCAATAAAATGACCCAACAGGCTGAACCCAGCATTTGGGTTAAAAAAAACAACCCAGCATTTTTTAGAGTGCAGTGTCATATTTAATAAAACTCTGAAAATGACAGAGAAATATAGGTTAAAATTGGCCAGGTGGTGTGCAATAGGACTTTTAAAATACTGTTTTTCAGCCTTCAGTGTCAGAAAAGATCGAGGCTCACTGGTCAAATAAGGCCAGTAGGTGGCGATATGCACATAGAATGCGAACTGCCAATAAACTTTAAAAAAGTGCATAAAAAACTAAAACTAAAAAAACAAATTTCTCAGAACAATATAATATTATAACAAAATGCATAGGATGCAAATGGTTTAACTTTAGTATTTTCTGAGTCATTTACCTGTAATGTCTCGGGTCAACTTCATGAGTCCATGAAAATAAAATGGTATTTGTGTAGTTTCTGTAGTTCATTGATTAGCTCCACCTGTGCCGTGTTTTACCCTCATTACTCTGTGTATATCTTGCCCTCAGCTGTTGACTTCTTTGTCTTGTATTGTGTTTATGCTGCAGTGTCTTTCTCCTGTGTTTTTCATTGTTGCAAGTGGATCATCTTATTGTTCTTTGTCTTAAATAAAAGTCTAGCTGTGATCAGATCTCTCCTCTTCATTGCCTTGACAATAGCCTTTTTATATTATATATAAAATAATAATATAATACATTTTTAATAATACATTTATATTAAATATTACTTATAATAATACATTTATATTAAAAATAAAACAATAAGCATAAGAACATGATAAATAAAACTATATTTAACAAATATGTTTAGACTGTAACATCTTCACAAGCTGGGAGCAGGCTACAGCTGATTAAACCTTTTTCAAATAGGCCTGTTGTTTATGCTTTTGGAAATTGATCTTTTCTATCACTAATCAGGCTTAATATTTTGTATTTTAGGTTCATTTTGACCACAAAGTATGCGCTGTCTGCAAATTGGGCAAGTGTAGCCTATTTAATTAGTTTATTTGTTTTATATTATTCATATCGTGACAGCATAAGTTTCAGGAATGTTGAATATTGTGTGCAAATCAATCCCGCTACCTTACCATGCCTTTTTATACAGTGCACACAAACAACTATGTTTAACATGTACAGTTAGTATGTGACTACCTTGAAACCAATGACGGCGTCTCTTTTGATGATTGATGATAATAGCGCTCTGCTCTTCATTCTTCATCATCACTAGACCTATAGCTCACAGCGCCCTCTGCTGGTGAAAATAATCAAATCTAATCATAAATCAATCATATGTTTTAATTGTTTTAATTAATTTTCTCAGTGTATTTGCGGGACAGACACCAAAAACCGGGACTGTCTGGAAAACGGGGACGTCTGGTCACCATTGTAAATTCAAAAACATACAACACAAAAAACAACATACGGACATGTGGAAATTAATCGTATGTTTTAATTCATTTTCTCAGTAAAGATATTTTTCCAGCTCTTAAAACAAAGTTTGTAAAGGTTTTATTTTACAGATATCTCACCAGTCGGCGCACATTACGTCACGAAAGTACACGACGTCATCGCGCTACAGTCTGCAGCGCGAGCTCGATTGTGCGTGAATTGAATCTGAGTTGCTATAGCAACCCGTAAACTCCATCTGCAGCTATACAAGCCTGAACTCTTCGATTTCTGATTGTTGGGTGTTTGAAGGCGAGACTCTCGAGACAGACTTTTATGTGCGGAGAAAGTGATTTTTGAAGGAGTTCGGAGCATTTCTGTGGAGGATATTTTCTTTGAATTGACTTTTTGAAGGAGTTTAGATTATTTCTGAGGAGAGTTTTATTTCATTTGTTTGTTTTTGTTTGGTTGTTGGTGTTTCTTTAACTCATCTTTTCCTTTTCTTATCTATTCTTTTCTTTTCTCATTGTGAAGGAGAGATTTTTAGGATATTTTCGATGGCTCACATGGGCGAAAGACGAGGTGTTTTCATTTTTCATATTTGTTGTTGGTATGTTATGGTATGATGTTGTATATTGTTAGACTACCCTTACATTAATAAATGTGTGCAGTTTAGCAAATTTATCTCGAATATTCCCAGTTAAATAAGCACATATTGTACTCATTGAATATGAAAAACTGCCTTTTCATAAAAAAGTGTATGATGTGTCATTGTTCGCATCTCGGATGTGCATTATTTTTCAATAATAAACTGACCAGAGTCAATTATTCCGCTTACACCACGGTTACCAAACCTCAAGACATTGTTCAGATGATTTATTTCAAGAAATTCGTTAAAAACCACAAGAAAGTCAAATAGTGTGAAATAGATTGTGAAGTGCTGCTGCTCTTTCAGCTTTGTGCCGCTCCAGATCCACTGCTGCTTTAATCCAGATGTCTGCTGGTCAGGAGGCTGGGAGACAGTGTGGAGACCACATTCAGAAAGCACTGTCAACCCCAACCCAGCCGTGGAGTCCAGAGCTGCCTGCTATAGCACTCCTCTGCCTTCTGAGTCGACTCAGAGGATGAAGATCCCTGCACCTCATACGAGAGACCCGCCAAACGCTCTGCTGAAGGTCAGGCTTATTCTGAAGACATCGCTGAATTAAGTGATTTGCCGTTGAAATGTTCATTCACTGATGATGATTACAGGAACATTCTTGTAGTCGCCTGTTTTCTCATTTCTTGTGATCTTGTGATTGTTGCAGATGCGTATATAAAGGGCCCAATGCTGGGTCAAGGTGGATTCGGCTCCGTGTTTGCTGGGACCCGCAGCTCTGATGGATTGCCAGTAAGACATTTTTTTCCCTCCTTAATTCATTCAAACAGCCCTTATTCATGACACTTGTGGCAGAAACCGTATTTCATCTGTACAGAGTACGAGGTTATTGTCATAATTATCAGGTGTAATTTACTGTGGTTCATCTGTCTGCAGGTGGCCATCAAGTACGTGACTAAAGACGAGGAGCACGAGGACATGGAAGTTGTGAGTTCAGTCACATGTAAGGTTTGATACACACATAAACCCACACTCAGCCCTCTAGCGATGACTCAAGGGTCTGGGGTCTCCTCTGCCGCTGCAGGAAGGTCAGGGTCTGCTGCCGCTGGAGGTCGCGTTGATGACCCGGGTCAATTCAGCTCCTGTCTGTCCCAGTGTCCTGAAGCTGCTGGAGTGGTTTGACCATCCCGGCCACTACGTCATGATCCTGGAACGGCTGGATCCTTGCCAGGATCTCCACAGATTGTGTGAGGAGAACGGCTGTCTGGATGAGAGCCAGGCCAAGAAGGTGCTGCTGCAGCTCATCGACGCTCTCAAACACTGCGAGAGCCGCGGCGTCTTCCACCGGGACGTCAAGCCACAGAACCTGCTCATTTGCACCGATACCAGCGAGATCAAGCTGCTGGACTTTGGCTGCGGACACCTCCTGAAGGACTCGGAGTATAAAGAGTTTGCAGGTTGGTTAGGAGAAGATCTCTGTGGAAGTTTGTGTTTTGGACTGGAAGCGTTTGAGCTGATCTCTTGCTCTTCTCGGGTCTCTCAGGCACTCTTTCATACGCCCCTCCGGAGTGGTTTCATTCCCACAGCTATCGTGCCGGACCAGCTACTGCTTGGTCGCTGGGTGTGACGCTCTACAAGCTCCTGTGCGGTTCTCTACCTTTCAAAAGCGCACGGAGGGTTCGCAGACTGCGCTTCCCGAGTCACCTGTCTGCAGGCAAGAGATGGCAAACATGCAGCTGTTCACAGACAGAAATCACGGCCGGAGCGAGCAGAAGTTGATGTTGTGTTGCTCAAGTACTGTGTTGTATGTAACAGACTGCCGTCAGTTGATTAGATGGTGTCTTAGAGCAGCAGCGGACGAGCGTCCCAGCTTACAGGACATTCAACAGCATCCCTGGTTACGCTCCACAGGTGGCCAATCACAGCACACTCATCTCAATGACTCCGTGTTGATTGGACAGTTGGATTGTCCTGTCAGGATAAATGTAGGTAACTGGCTGTAATTGTGAACATAGGGTGAGCAGGAGTGCAGGACACAGGAGCCGCAGAGACAGCTGGACACCTGCAGTGAGGACGAGTGGACAGCAGGCGTTTCATGTGTTTTGTAATGCTGTGCTTCACTCTGGAGCGTGACTGAGGGCTCTGTGTGGATGCTGGAGGAGCTGGACACGCAGCGCCGGCTCAAACCAGAGTCCTGATGCTACAGAGATCCGCTCCAGACTGAGCCTAAACCAGCATGCAGCTGTTCTGATGAGGAGGAGAGAGACAAAAACATCAAAACATTAGGAATCATTTAATTAGTTATCATCTTTAGTTAACTGAATCCTATAGAAAATATTTCTGTTACTTGAAATAAAATAAACGAACTGAATCTAAAAATCTAAATCTTAATAAAAACTATAATAGCATCTCATTGTCACAGCTTGTTAAAAATAAAGATGAAAGAAGAGGATCTAAATGCTGCCGCTAGACTTTATTTACTCAAAAACCACTAGGCATGAACAGAATCAACTACACTAAATGTGATGACAACAGACAAATAACTGCAATAAACATAGAGCTTAACTTCTCTTAAACAAAGGAACTAAATGAACATCTGGCGCAAACGGTGCGATTTGTGAAAAAAGCAGAGGGGGGATGCTTTTGAAAACTTTTTTCTCTCTCCATTGGTGGAAGGTAGGGGTAAGGCTATAGCTTAAAGGGGTCATATGATGCTGCTAAAAAGAACAGTATTTTGTGTATTTGGTGTAATGAAATGTGTTTATGCGGTTTAAGGTACTTTTATAAAGAATATCTCTTTGGATTTGAGACTTTAGTCTTTGCAACTTTACAGATCTTCTTTATGCACCAAGAGCTTGTAACACTCCAAAGAGAAAGGAAAAATTGAAATCGCATCATATGACCCCTTTAAGTAACCTAATGTTAGTGTAATCTGTTAATAACACACATCATAAACCCATCTTTTTAGGCAAGTACCATATAATGGGTGTCATATAATGAAATGTTTTTAATACGACGGGAACTGTATTTAATGTGATCGCAATCTATTAAAAAACATTGTAAGTTAGGCCTATTAATTGTAATGATATCATTTCCATGGTTATTCAAGCAACGAATTCGCATATCGCGAATCATTTGAGTTAGATCGGGACCTCGGAGCGAGATCGCGGAATAATTCAGCAGAGAAACTGCAAATGTTTCAACAATGATTTCGTTAACAGCATTCATTTTGAAGCAGGTAATGATTTAAACGGTGGTTAAATTAATTATTGATTTAACATATATAAATAACATTTTACATGGAAACGGTAATGCTAGTAAAACGCCATATTTGCTCGATCTTGGAGAGTCTGAAATAGATGTTGCTCAATCAGGACATTAAAAATATACACATCATAACTTATTCAGAGGAATAACTGACTTAAAGACATGAAGCTTTATTTCCAAGATGATGCATGGTAAGCTTTTCATTTCAGTACCACAACATAGAGCAATATAGTAACAGAGGCTTGTATTGTATTATTGTATATTCAAATCAATTTCTGATAATATGTTCGTGTTTAATAGTTCCTGAATAATTACGTACATAAAGAAATAGGCTATATTTTGTGTTGGGTCAGTTAACGTTACCTGTGTCGGGAAGTGCGCAGCAGACACACCCACCTTAACGATTTAAATATAAAGCTTATCCTGCCCAAAAAAAGACCATAAATATTGCCGATAACATCTGAAGTAAAAATGAATTTACATGTACATGACATAAAAACGAATCCTTGGATTCGCTTCAAATCGGGTGATTTTAGGTCAGCGGTTTTGGCTGTGACTCAATGGTGCTCTTTGCCGGTAGGGAATAGTAAGATGGCGCCTCGAACACTTCCGGTGGGATATCTGTAAAATAAAACCTCCATAATTTTTGTTTTAAGAGCTGGACAAAAATATTTTTACTGAGAAATTGAATTAAAACATATGATTAATTTCCATATGACCAGACCCCGTTTTCCAGGGACAGTCCTGGTTCCCTTTCTAACGTTCACTTCGCGTTGTGTATTAGTGTTGGGTCGTTCTTGAACGATTCGTTCGTTTTGAACGAATCTTTAATGTGACTCGGGAAGAACGAGTCGTCTCGGGGAGTGATTCGTTCAGTCGCGCATGCGCAACATCCTATAGGTTCTGTACTGGAATTAGTCAAGTAGTTCACCTGGTTCGAGTCTTCGGGTTTTTCCGAGTCGTTCGTTCATCACGTGACAGCCCCATAAGCCCAAACCCGAAGACTTGTCAGATAAGAGGTGGTGAGCTAATCATAGACTGAAGACTCAGGTAAACAATGAATTAATCTTTTCTGTTTCTTATAGCAGTTTTGTATTATTTGTAGTGTGATCAACGTTTGCGTAAGTAGTAGACATATTAGGGAAGTAACACGTAACATTTTAATTATATTTTGTTAAAATGAACGAAATGACTCGAAAAAAGATTCGTTCATTTTGCTGAACGAGACTCAAAGGTCCGAGTCGGTAAAATGATCCGAACTTCCCATCACTATTGTGTATGGGTAAACTCCTGTTTACTCTTGTTACTGAAGCCTGATTTGTTCACGTTTGTGTAGCTGCACAAACCAATGCCGCTTTAGCCCGCCAGAAAGGGCGGAGCCGACGTGTATATAAGTGGGCTCCCAGCTCCATTTCATCATTCTTTGTCATATTTATGACACCCCTCGAAATAGCAGAGAATCCGTGCTTTAAAACAGACTAAAATAGCACTGTGAATAGAGGAACCAAGATGCACTAGGTTTTTTATATCATTATATTGAGTGCGATTGCAATATTTGTAAAAACTGTCCATCTACTCAGCTCCTGCAATCACTATGTAGAAAGCAACTATTACAAATGACAATTCTACTAAATTTTGGCCATTCATGCAAATTCCCATGAAGAATTGCAATAAATGATTAAATAAGCAACGAATATCATACATGCAGCTTAAGTGTGCACTCCACTGACTTTCATTGTATCAACATAAACACTTAAAATGTCTCCTTTTGTCTTCCACAGAAGAAAAGAAGCCACAGATTTCTAAATGAGGGGTTTCGACGTGAGGGTGAGTAAATAATGACAGAAGACGTTCCATTTAACATTTATAGCCATTAGTGCAGGGGAAACACAGTCACATCAGTATGAGACTATGCTGTAATTTACTTGTGATGCAGTTTATGTGTAACCCTCACTCAAACTGCATTTTGATCTGTGTTGATGAAACTTTTTTTTTTATCACTGAGACACGTTTATGGATCTTTTAGAAACTTTTGGACCTGTGGACTCCTAAACACACTTTTTACACTCTCTTCAAATATTTCCACCACGTAAAATAATAACCAAGAAATACATTTATTACATGCCATAAATCAGACAAACTTAAAAACTAGTATAACAAGTACAGTTTGCTTCATAATGAGATATATTGGGGTGAATTAGTTTGACATTTTTCCCAGTCATCTCAATGACAAAAAGCGTCCCAGTTTACCTGAATTCACCCTATACTATACATCCACAATCTTGCAAACATTAAGATCAGAAACATCATTTACAGTCATTGACCTACAGTTCAAAATACACATCATAAACTGTTCAGTGGGCATCTACTTCTGTCTTTTTGCTTTTCATTTGCTTTTTTCTTAAATGTTTCCCTTTGAGCACTCTCTTTAAACTAATTTGTTTTGTATTTTAGTATTTTATTTTGGGGATAATGTGACTGTGTCTGATTCATGACAGATTTTGTCATGAGATTCATCCATTGGTATGTGTGATGTATTTTAATCTCACCCTCATCATGTATTCTTTGTAAATTAACGTCACCCTTGGGCATGAATCATATATATATATATATATATATACAGTATATGTTGGCATGTTACAAGGATTTAAGCCTGATTAAAATAGACGAATTTGGCTTTCTAATAATCATGGCTCATTAGCGCAGGACAGAAGTAAGAAGCAGAAGTGGGCAGCATGCTCTGCAGTGTGAAACGAAAAAATACAAATAATTTCCTGTCAGGAAAGCACAGCAGAAAGTATCCGGATGTAAAAATCCAATTTATTCTGCCCTCAGAGAAATATAATCTTTCAATAAACCTTCAGTACTGGATGACCTGAGGTTAAGAAATGGTATATGCCCATGTAGAAGTTATTGATTTTAACTTATTTGATTCTGTATTTTTACATTTGTGGTGAAAAACCACACTTCCCACAATCTTTAAGAGAGATGCACCAATCAGAGAAGTCATGGATATCATGTAAACGTCAATGAACGAGTGAAACAAGATTTTTTTTTTTTTGTGTCCTTAAGGAATCAATTTGTTTGTGTATTTTAATACACAAGAATGCAGAATTTAACACAGGAGGAGGAAAAAAAAAAAAGTATTTTATTTCTATTATATTTTATTTGGCAAAACATGTCTAATTGAAAGAGTCTCCTTTCATAGACAAACCAAAGCCTCATAAAAGCCACAAAATGCAGGTTGGGTTTGACATCAGTATCCAGAAATAAAGTATGCTGATGAAGAACAGGAAGTGAAACAGCCAAGGTTTTGTATATTGACACTGAACTTACGGTCACAGTCAGTTTAACTGTCAAAGGTAACTACCTAAATTCATCGCTGGTATTGCGAACTACTCTTTCTGGTGTATCTGTATTGTACTAGGCCCATAATTGCTGCTTGCAGCTGTATATGTAAAAATAATAGTGTCTGTTCCTGTCAGGAAGGTGCTTTTGTAAAGTAAAGGCATGCTGTAGCAATGAAAGGCCAGAATGGACAACTTCTGATAATCAGCATTATGGTCTTGAACCATAAATCACATGGCTGCGGACATCTTGATTGGTAGTCAAACCAGTTGTGGAGAAAATTAACAGCTCAGTCATGAATATAAAATAGGATGAGCAGCCACCCTCTATTCGAAGGTAAAGACTTCTGGCATCAGTTTAAATATATAAAAATACACTGGCTTTTATTGTGAATGATATGTACAAACATCAAATGCACCAAACAGAACACGAGTATAAAACATTTTTCTCTTTCTCTCTTTAACAGTGAAGACCGTATACATTGAGCCCTGATGAACCATCAACTAACAGTTCATTTGAAACGCTGCTGCCCTCAGTTTGTATATTAAGGGGAACAAGTGTATGAAACTAATACAGTGTGGAACAGCAGAGGAAAAAGATCTTCACAAGGTAAAGTGTTACAATATTGCAGAACTTCATCAGTTTTGAAACCAAATACAGGGTTTGTGGAAGATCTACCAGATCTATCATCTGCATTAATGATGCTCATGTTGAAGTGCGATGGCCAAACAGCTAGTTTGAAACAACTTCTTGCCGTCTAGTGGTAAACCATTTACTCACCCTCATGTCATTGCAACGTTCCTATGAAACACAAAAGATCTAATGCACAACGTCCAAGCAGCTCTTTTGACAAAACAAAAATGAATGATTAAGACCAGATTATTCCGTGTGAGGAACAGAGCGAAATAAGTCAAAATGCACTTTTTTTTATTTTTTCACTGAACTGTGCAAATGAGGACATTCTTCCTTTTGCATTTCAATGAATTTAGAAAGTACTATGCATCTGGAACGACATGAGAGTGAGCCAATGCTCATTTTAGGAGGAAAGAAAAATTTAACTTTTTAAAAATGACAGATTTCTTGCATTAAATCAGATTCTTGTAGCGCAGTTGAAATCAAAGTCTGTTTGCCAGATTCTTCAAGATAGAGTTCATGAGTATAGAAGAGTCTTGTATTAGTAATACGCAGCTAGATGAGCAGAGACGGCGTGGGCTTCTTGCCAGGCCATGCCTCTTTAGCATACTTCTTCTTGCGGGGTTCGCTGAGAGGGTCGGAGACGTAGGGGCCGGGTAGCGGCGTGGGGTTGAGCACGAGCGGAGGCGGCGGGGCCTCCTGGGCCAGGTCTACATCCGGGGCCGGGTTGGGCAACGGATGTACGAAACTAATACATTGGAAAAAGATCTTCACAAAGGTAAAGTGTTACAATATTGCAGAATTTCAACAGTTTTGAAACCTCTAACATCTACCGGATCCATCATCTGCATTACTGATGCTCATGTAAGTGTGATTGAGTTTGAAAGAACTTATTGGTCTCTAGCGCTAAAATGTGTACATAAATAGCCCATCCTTGTAAACCTTCTGAACATTTTACATAAATAGTCATATAAAAAAAAGAAAAAAAAAAAGTGAGTACATTATAAAAGTGAAACCCTCTGCCGTCTTAGGCTAAACATGACACATTTTGCTGTTTGGACCAGGTGATGCACTTTTGTTTGCATTTCTTTAGGTTCCCACACTTTCAAGCTGGCATTTTAAAGAAATAGGTCAATCAAAATGCATTGAAACGTCATTTACTCACCCCTCATGTCATGGCAAACTTCCTGTGAATCACAAAAGATCTGATGCACAATGTCCAAGCAGCTCTTTTAACAAAACAAACACAGATGATTTATAAGGCCATGACCAGATCATTGTGTGGGAGGAACACCGCGAAATAAAGCAAAATTCTCCAACTAAACTGTGCCTTCTGCATTTCACTGGATTTAGAAAGTAATTCAGATCTGAAATGACATGAGTGTGAGTCCGTGTTCATTTTAAGGAGGTAAAACTTATTTAAAAACTTACAAATTTCTTGCATTAAATCAGATTCTTGTAGTACAGTCAAAATCAAAGTCTGTTTGCCAGATTCATGAGTATAGACGAGTCAGACACATCCTGTGTTATTAATAAGCAGCTAGATGAGCAGAGAAGGCATGGGCTTCTTGCCAGGCCATGCCTCTTTAGCATACTTCTTCTTGCGGGGTTCACTGAGAGGGTCGGAGATGTAGGGGCCGGGTAGCGGCGTGGGGTTGAGCACGAGTGGAGGCGGCGGGGCCTCCTGGGCCAGGTCTACATCCGGGGCCGGGTTGGGCAGGGGTAACGGCAGTCCTCCCAGGATTGTGGCTCCGCCGGGCGCTCCTGTGGATTGAGCTTCGTGACTGGCCGGGGGAAGGTCTCTGTAGAGTCCACCATGCAAAGGGAACATGTGCATGTGTCGGGTCATGGTTTCCTCGATTCCCAGCGCATTGCCTCCGCCCATTTTCTTCTTCTGTTGGGTAAACAAACAGGAGCATGTAAACATGTAAATCAATCTCTCTTTTTTGCATAAATGACTGAATGACTTGAGAAGTTACCTTAATAGGAACCACAGCTGTTGTGACCATGTTTCTGAAACGTCCAACAGAGGGGTCGATGTCCTCTAAAAAAAGTTAACAACACAAACATTGTTAAAAGCCTCAAGTCACAAAAGTAGTGAGGGATGCTAAAGGCCAAGTCTTAAGTCATATGATAGCTTTGTCTGATGAACAAATCTAGTATTTGTTTTTTGGCGATAAATCACGCTCTTTCAAGCTCCTCCTCCACCGAAAAAGGGCAGTTCAACCTGCTGTGCCAGGTTTGATGTCATTAACACCCAGGGTTATTATCATTAACTAAAAGTAAAACTACAAGATAAAAACAAACAACTTAATTAGAAATGTTGCCTTGGAAACTTAAGTTTAAGTTTAACTTGAAATAAATAAAAACAAAAACTAAACAAAAAATGTAATCTTAATATTTCAATGAAAAGTAATAAATTACAAAAGCACATAAAGTTAAATAAAAAACCTATTAAAATATTAATAAAACTATAGTAGTATATAAATAATATTAAAATAATGCTTAACACTAGAGGTCGACCGATAGTGGATTTTACCGATAGCTAGGTTGAACCACACTGGCCGATACCGATTAAGGGGGGGGGGGGTTGATGGCATTAATACACAGAAATAAAGCTGAAATAAAATATAAAACAAACAACTAAAGCTTTGGCAACTAAATAAGTTTAAGTTTATCTGGAAATAAATAAAAACTGAGCTAAATTACATCTAAAGGCCTGTTCACACCAAGCACGATAACGATAAAGATATAGTTTTACAAATCTCTCAATATTAAAGAACAGCAGAGTCCACACCACAGCTATAACGATAAAGGCATAGAGAAACGATATCGTTAGAATCACTTTCAGAACGATTTTTTCCAGCTGGTGAATGATAAAAACATTGACAGCCAATCTTAAATTCGGTCTTAAATTATGGGACAGAAAAGCAGCAACTGCAGAACATCTTAAGTGTAATTGTTACATTTCAAAAGTGATTGAACATGCAGTGATCACATTTAATTCAATCAAAGTCAAAGCATGGCATTGTTGCATGTTCCACAAGCTTGTGGTTTCAGAGTAGTTCACAATTAACGAATAACTTGCATTTATGCCAAACAATTGCTCTGTTGTGGATGAGCCAGTGGTTGATTGAGGTGCAGTTACAGTTCTTCCTTTTCCTCTTGGGTCTCTGAATATCCAGGTTGCCCTCCTCTATGGTGAGGGTGGAGATGCGCTTGTTATGAGCCGTGTTGAACTCAGTCAGATTCTGCCAAAAAAAAAAATACATTTTAGAGATCTGTTCATTCATTGCAATGGACCTGAAATTAATTTTGCAGACCAATTGTGCCTGTGTAAATCTCTCTAAAAAACCCTAAAACAAGCGACATGGATACATGGGGTAATATGGGAAGTCTAATGATCAACATTAAGGCAATCAAAATTCAAATTTGATTTTGAACAATTATGAAAACAAGATCTGTCAATCAAGATTATCCTGTAATTGTTGATTGCTCCGCATTCAGTTTCACAGTGATGCTACACACAAAAATGGCAAATAGCCGGGCCTGGAGATTATTAACAGAAGCACAGTCAGTTGCATCTTAAGTGAACAAAAACAGCAGGATGTGTACAATGGGTCTATGCATTAGGTCTTAAAATGACACCTGTGCCATTTGCTTTTGGATAAATCCTTTAAAACATTCATAGCTTTAAAACATTTAAGTAATTCAATGTGAGGAATAGAAGACAGATTACTGTCAAAGGTGATACCGAGAAACCTGGTCTCTTTTACAACTTTAAAGGGGACTCCATCCATCAGCAACTATAGTTCATTGTGCAATCAATGGAGCGGGAAAAAAGGTAGTTTTTGTTTGTCAGAACTTGAAACCGTTCTGCTTTGACCAAGATTGTATTTTGTTTTTCTTCAGCTGGATTTTTTGCACTATAGTGCTATGCATGCACTTGCTTCTGTAACAATACAGAAGTCATCTACATAAAAACTACAGTGAACTTCAGAACCAATGACTTTTGCAATGCTGTCTATTTTAATACTGAAAAGAGGTACGTAGGTGCTTTGACATTTGTTGGATCCACACTGGGCATTAGTTATGTGATGTTCAGATTACAGTACACAGACCAAGCGATCATTAACCATCCTCTCCACTGTTTTGCATAAGCAACTGGTTAAAGCTCTAGGGTGATGGCTAATGGTTTCATTATGGTTATTTCCTGGTTTTAGAATGGGTATTATATCTGCTTCATTCCAAGAGAATGGGATTTTTCCTGATATCCACAGAGTTAAAAATTCTAAGAAGCATTTTCAGAAAAAGGTGAGGTAGACTCTTTCAAAATTGGTAGTGGATTATATCTGGTCCAACAGCTGTGTCGTGGGATATTCTAAGGGCTTGTTGTGGCTCTTCCATTTAAAAAAAAAAGCTGGTTGTATGCATAGACTGTATAAAAACATGGACGTAGTGTCCGTGACGTCACCCGTAGACTTCCGACGAGCGTTTTGAAGCCTAAAGTAGGCGGAGCCAGCCATCGCCATCTTGGCAGCGCGTCCCGGATAGATAATCGAAAATGGGCAATGAGGCGGGAGCTGGTTGCTGAAACCCCGCCCACCTAGCTCGACGGCAGTGTCCGCAGCGGCAATCCACCTGTCACTCAAGTGGCCACGCCCTTAATTATGCAGAACTTTAAGGCTTAATATAATTTAAACGGATGAGTTATAAAAAAATTCACCCCCCTCACAGTTGTCATGAAGGGCAAAAT